ATGTGGATGCCTGGGCTTCCATGCTGTTCCTGCTGGTTTCATGTTTTCTTGGATGCTTGGGATTTGGATCTTGCTTGCTGTCAAAGTTTTCTCTTGGTCTTCTGTTTGATTGGGAATCATAAATAATTTCATTTAGAGTTCCAGGCATTTCTCCTGGTTCTGGGTTAAGTTCAGTGTCTATTAAATATTCTTATGTTCACTGCACTAAAAGTTTAAAGTTAATTTTAGATGTTCATTCCATGAAGGTTCGACCAGTTCTCCCATCTGGATATTATCCTTTGGACAAGTAGACTAATAATTCACGATTCTTTGTACATTTTGTATTAGTTTCCTGGGAGCTTGTTTGTACATTTTGTATTAGTTTCCTGGGACATTGTTTGTCCTTTTTTTTTTTTTTTTTTTTTTTTTTTTTTACAAAGTTCCATATATTTTTGTAGGTGTTCAAAGTGAGGTGCAGAAATTTTACCAGGATTTTCTTTTTTTCTTTATCTATTTAGGAGTGGGCTATATGGGATGTTTTTTTCCTTTTTTCCCCTCAAATCTTGCTCACATTTTTTTTTCTGCAGCATTTTACCTAACAGAGAAAACTCTTTTTTCTGAAAAAAAATGTATTTTCAACATTTTCTGACAGTGTTTGAAAACCTGAACATTTTGCCCAGCATTTTTTTTTTGTGTGTGTGTGTGTGTGTGTGTGTGTGTGTGTGTGTGTGTGTGTGTGTGTGTGTGTGTGTGTGTGTGTGTGTGTGTGTGTGTGTGTGTGGAGGGAATCCAAAAAAAAACAATGTGATTTTTAAAAAGTCACTGTTGAGATTTAAATACAGGAAAATAAGTAGGAGATTAAATGTGTGAAAGAGAAGAGATGATTTTTATCAAATCAAGCCTTGTTTATATTTTTCTTCCCAAGCAGCTCATATTCAATTGTAGGTGAAATTGCGCAAAACTTTTAATTTTTATAATTTCTTTATTTTTCCCTGGGAAATTGAGTCATCACTTAAAAAAAAAAATGTATACTTTTTTACTAATTTAGTATGTTTTGAGCTTACCTGTGTTAGCAACTTAATTTTATATTGTTTCAACTACAACGAACGTTTATGATTTTATCCTTTTTCATGAATATCATTTAATTTATTCATATTCTCATCGCGCATTTCCTGTCTTGATCTGACATTGAAGTGAAAGTATATTAATCAGGGAACTTGCCTGAACAGCTGGGTGACCTGAGCTCATTTTCTCATACATCGGGCGATTGAAACGTGAAATGGGTTGAGAAACGGCTAGCCATTCCTATTAATTGTTTTCTATAATTGTTTACAACATGGGGTAATGCATTTCAACGTTACATGTTCATTGGTGACACTTTCTATCGGTGCTTGAGTGGAGCTTGTAACGAGATGTTATATAGATTTATTATTTTGAGTATAGTGTTAGAATCTTTCCCATATCATAGTGCACAGGTATGCCTGATATAACCTGGGGTTGCGTATATGCCTAATAGATCTACGCTCCGATGTAACGATAGTAGATACAGGTATAACTGAAGGTAATCGTATGATTGGCAATTTGTGTTGGTTGACCCAAAGTATGTCCATTAAATAATGTAGGACTAGGGCTTAAGCTGAATCGTTATTCGCTGGCATGTTTGGGTAAATCCCAAGTGATCGTGTGATTCGTGATAGATAACCGTAGGGCATGTCACGAGCGCCCATCACAGATTCTCAGAAAAGAGTGGGTTATGTATATATTTTCCAACCTCATATCGCTTTGTATAGTACGGTATTTTGGGGGGTATAGCCCACCCCATCAATGAAGTCTGCATGTGCAGTTAGACACAGCTATCTCGGCAGATTTGCTGACCCCGAGAAGATTTACTGTGAATTTTTTTTATGTCACCGTTCATCAGTGCGTCATTCTGTTGCATATCATTATATGTTGAATTCAATGTAGTAGTTGCAATAATTTTGTATTAGTTTCCTGGGAGCTTGTTTGTACATTTTGTATTAGTTTCCTGGGAGCTTGTTTGTACATTTTGTATTAGTTTCCTGGGAGCTTGTTTGTACATTTTGTATTAGTTTCCTGGGAGCTTGTTTGTACATTTTGTATTAGTTTCCTGGGAGCTTGTTTGTACATTTTGTATTAGTTTCCTGGGAGCTTGTTTGTACATTTTGTATTAGTTTCCTGGGAGCTTGTTTGTACATTTTGTATTAGTTTCCTGGGAGCTTGTTTGTACATTTTGTATTAGTTTCCTGGGAGCTTGTTTGTACATTTTGTATTAGTTTCCTGGGAGCTTGTTTGTACATTTTGTATTAGTTTCCTGGGAGCTTGTTTGTACATTTTGTATTAGTTTCCTGGGAGCTTGTTTGTACATTTTGTATTAGTTTCCTGGGAGCTTGTTTGTACATTTTGTATTAGTTTCCTGGGAGCTTGTTTGTACATTTTGTATTAGTTTCCTGGGAGCTTGTTTGTACATTTTGTATTAGTTTCCTGGGAGCTTGTTTGTACATTTTGTATTAGTTTCCTGGGAGCTTGTTTGTACATTTTGTATTAGTTTCCTGGGAGCTTGTTTGTACATTTTGTATTAGTTTCCTGGGAGCTTGTTTGTACATTTTGTATTAGTTTCCTGGGAGCTTGTTTGTACATTTTGTATTAGTTTCCTGGGAGCTTGTTTGTACATTTTGTATTAGTTTCCTGGGAGCTTGTTTGTACATTTTGTATTAGTTTCCTGGGAGCTTGTTTGTACATTTTGTATTAGTTTCCTGGGAGCTTGTTTGTACATTTTGTATTAGTTTCCTGGGAGCTTGTTTGTACATTTTGTATTAGTTTCCTGGGAGCTTGTTTGTACATTTTGTATTAGTTTCCTGGGAGCTTGTTTGTACATTTTGTATTAGTTTCCTGGGAGCTTGTTTGTACATTTTGTATTAGTTTCCTGGGAGCTTGTTTGTACATTTTGTATTAGTTTCCTGGGAGCTTGTTTGTACATTTTGTATTAGTTTCCTGGGAGCTTGTTTGTACATTTTGTATTAGTTTCCTGGGAGCTTGTTTGTACATTTTGTATTAGTTTCCTGGGAGCTTGTTTGTACATTTTGTATTAGTTTCCTGGGAGCTTGTTTGTACATTTTGTATTAGTTTCCTGGGAGCTTGTTTGTACATTTTGTATTAGTTTCCTGGGAGCTTGTTTGTACATTTTGTATTAGTTTCCTGGGAGCTTGTTTGTACATTTTGTATTAGTTTCCTGGGAGCTTGTTTGTACATTTTGTATTAGTTTCCTGGGAGCTTGTTTGTACATTTTGTATTAGTTTCCTGGGAGCTTGTTTGTACATTTTGTATTAGTTTCCTGGGAGCTTGTTTGTACATTTTGTATTAGTTTCCTGGGAGCTTGTTTGTACATTTTGTATTAGTTTCCTGGGAGCTTGTTTGTACATTTTGTATTAGTTTCCTGGGAGCTTGTTTGTACATTTTGTATTAGTTTCCTGGGAGCTTGTTTGTACATTTTGTATTAGTTTCCTGGGAGCTTGTTTGTACATTTTGTATTAGTTTCCTGGGAGCTTGTTTGTACATTTTGTATTAGTTTCCTGGGAGCTTGTTTGTACATTTTGTATTAGTTTCCTGGGAGCTTGTTTGTACATTTTGTATTAGTTTCCTGGGAGCTTGTTTGTACATTTTGTATTAGTTTCCTGGGAGCTTGTTTGTACATTTTGTATTAGTTTCCTGGGAGCTTGTTTGTACATTTTGTATTAGTTTCCTGGGAGCTTGTTTGTACATTTTGTATTAGTTTCCTGGGAAAGTAAAACAAAAAAGGAAACAAAGACAAAAATAATGTAAAATGGAACATTAAAAAGTGCAAATCAATATAAATAACTGACTACACCCCCCTTTTCTCTGTTGCCTTTCTTTGTCTCTTACTATCTTGGCCTTTACATGTATAATCTGGTTCACCGATATCCGATATGGCACCGTAGGAGGATCCTGCTGCAGAAACGGTCACCTTAGGATGCTGTGGGAAGGACGTCACCGGAAGATCGCCAGATCGACTAGGATGTTTGTCAGAGCAGTTATTAAGCCCCAGGATGTGGAAGGGTGGCGCCTGCTGGGACACCTGTAGATCCAGCGAAGGACCAGGAACTTGCCAGCATAGGTACCAGTCGCCCCATGATGCTGTGACGGGTGCCGCCTGCCTGGACGCCCGCAGATCCAGTCAAACTCCAGGAGATTGTCAACGCAGATATCAGCTGCCTTGAGATGCTGAAGAGAACACCTGCCCGGATGCCCGTAGATAGACACGAAGATTATGAGGACGTCTGGATGAGCACACAGCCAAGAAGGACTTGGGCGAGATTTGCGAGGATTTGCATTGGGCGAGTATGCCGCCGAGTTAGGCCTGGATGAGGACTAAGTCTGGATGAATCTGAAGTCGAGGAGGACCTGTGCATGACCTTCGAGGAAGAGGGCGACAAGGATGAAGAGCCATGAAGATACACCAGGGACAGCGCACACATAACCGAAATGACCAGCAAGTCAGGACCAGCCAAGTTGGATCACCCTTGAGGCAAATATAAGGTGCCTCGAGGGCTGAGCAATATACTGTGTGTATAAGCACGATTTGTGTAAGCCATTAGACATAGACCGTGTGGATGTTTGCTACACTGGAGAACCATTGCCTCAGTGAGGACTTAGATGACGAGTTCATCTGACCTTGTTTGGCCTCCCAGTTGTGGCACGGTCAGCGGACCTTCCGATCTCCCCGCACTCGGTGCTTACCCAAGACTCATCTCATGTGTTACCATCACTGTGTTGTACTCTTCCGAAATAAAGAGCCAAGCTATTATAACCACTATGTCTACCGTAGCAAACCAATGTTTAAAGTCTTATATACATCATTTACAGTGTGTGTGTCTTTGTTTGTGTTTCATTTCCCCTGTGTTGGTTAGGTAATGGATTATTTATGTAATTTACAAAACTATAGATTGTATTGGTACTACATTTAATCTACCTTTTTTTCACAGTGACGATTGAAATCATCAATAAAGGATGTCTAGTGTTTTAGAGAAAACATTAAGTGGCTTAGTGAACAGCCTTCTTGGGCCAGCGGGATCAAAAGGGACAGTCAGTCAAGGTCTAGTTGGAGTGCCTGGACTAAAGAATGTCTCTCTTGGCCTTATTAGTTTTGTGGAGAAGCTGCAGGCAGCAAAGAGAATATCAAAACAGGTAATAAGAAATGTTCCCTCCCCCTTCCCCTGTCTTTGTGCCAGTTGTGAGTGGCCTCAAGGAGCCATTGGCATGGTATTCCCATGGGTAATTGTTTAGCCCTTACCCCTCATGGCCAGTAATAAACATTTTGTACCCTTATAGGCTTGCCCCTATATCAACAAGCCTCTCTGAATCTAACTCCTTTTGTTTACTGGGCTCTGATTTTCCTTTGATCACATCTCCGACCACTGCAACTACACACTCCTCCTTGATGTGTGCTGTTAACCCATTCACCCCACGTGGCAAGAATAGATGACATGCCCACTTTAATACACATTTGTTTATTGTATTTACACATGGATGGCTCCACAAGTTCTTAATCACCAAATAGCCAGTTATCAAGAACTACCTAATTCACCTGTTTACCCTTTTCCTTCACTTTAGGAGAGTTTTTTTTTTTTGTATCATTTCATTGTCTAAAATATTCTAATAACAATTTAATAATCATAACATCAGTAACAATAGTAACA